CTTCCTACTTACTTCCTACTTCAGCCTACTTCCTACTTCTGTCTCCGGAAGGCAAGAAAAACGTCTCCAGGGGAAAGCACTTGGTTCTTATATTACAAAGTCAGATTTTTAATACAGATTTGAAAAAGCCGAAGAAAACCACCAACACCACCAACAACAATAAAGACATTGCAAATAGTCAGGGAACAACCTGGGATTTGAAGACCCTCGGGAACACTCCTGCTCTCGCTTTGGTCCATGCTGGATTTGGCTGTGGACAGTGCTCTGACAGGCAGGCAGCAGGGCCAGGCTTCCGGGCTGAAGTTAGGACCTCTCTCCCGGAGGGAGGGGCTCAGGGAGTGGGGTCCACCCAGAGCCCCACCTTCATCATCCAGGAGTGTCTCAGCCTCACTCTGACTTTCTTGGATGCCTGTCTCAGCTGGCAGAACAGGTTAGTCCACTGTGGCTGGTGTTGGACTTGGGGAAGGAATGTCTAATGATGGGCTTGTCAAGGGAGCTCTCCCAGCAGCCTTAGCGGGGAGTGAACTCACTAATGGCCTCCTGTCTCAGGCACACGCACCACCCATGGGGCCTCCTCCACACTCCTCCTGCACTACTGGGAGCTCATTGCTGATGGTGCTCAGGAGATTAAAGTGGTGACACAGCTTCCTGAGATGCAGCTGCACTGCGCAGACACACTGGGGACACGGAGGGGACACACAGCAGCCACACCCAGATCACCCAGCGCAGTGCCACATTCGTGCTGTTGTGATGCTGTTGTGACACAGGGTCTTGATACATCACCTAGCTCATTCTCACACTCCTGGGGACAGGTGACCCTCTTGCCTCAGTCTCCTGAGCTACTGGGATGACAGATGTGCCCCCCTGTACCTTCCAATCATGGGTGGAGTGAGCTTATACAAGTAGAAACAAGGAGGGTGTACATGTGGCCCAACATATTACTACATAAATTAAAAAAATACAAAATACCATTATGGAAAATGGTAAAATACATGCTTCATTAAACTTTAAACTTTTTCTAAACTACTCTTGCAGGAGCAATAAAAACTTACCATTTTAGTTGTATTTTTTTTCGTGTGTGTGTGCAGGGTCTTACTACACAGCTCAGACTCGAAGCAATCCTGTTTTCTGCCTCCCTAGTGCTGGGATTACAAGTGTGCACTACCATGCCTGGACTCCATCGACAGTTCAGTGTGCCTGGGGGCAGGGCCTGCATGGCATGTGGTGCCAGGAATCAAACCCTGGCCCCTGTGTTTGCTTAAGTAAGCGCTTAGCCTGCTGGCTATCTTGCCAGCCCAATTTTGTCATTTTAAGACATGTCATCTTCTAAAGATTTTTAAAAGACAGTTGCTCCCACATAATTTAAGCATCATTGGCTTTTCCTCTGGCAGGCAATTTTCTAAGCCAGAGCTATGAGTTTGGTCTGCAGCAGTTCTTCCTGAAATGAGGGGCGCTGGGCAGTCTGGCTCGTCCTCATCCCATGCAGTCTTGGAGGAAGTGAGGAGGCACAATCTGCCTGTGGAGACAGGAAATCATTCTAGGGGAACACACTCAGAAAGCCCCCTCCCCCAGGCACACAGGCACTAGGAAGACAACAAGGAGAAACCAGCCAGAGAAATAAATCTGACCTGGATGTAAGGACATGAGGGGTGCCAATCAGACCCTAATCCTGAAGCATCAGATTCCATCTGACCCCAGCGAGAATGGGTATCGCCCAGAAATCACAGTAACAAATGCTGGTAAGGCTATCGGGGAACAGGACCCCTTCTCCAGTGCTGGTGCTAGTACAAGCACTATGGAAACTCCTCAAAACCTGAAACTAGAAATTCCACTTGACCTAGCCATCCCTCTTCCACGTACTGTACGGGAAGAGTTCAGAGCATCCTATCACAGGGATACATGCATAACCGTGGGCACAGAAGCACAACTCACAGTAGCTGAATCTCAGAAGGATGAACAGATGAATGAATAGAGAAAATGTGGTACACACAGGAGGGCTACTCTGCCACAAGGGATAAACGCAGGTTATTCATAGCAAATGGATGCACCTGGGACCATAAGGTTAAGTGAAATAAGTCAAACACAATGTCTTTTTTATATCTTCAGTGCAGGGTCTCCAGGGTCTCACTACACAGATCAAGCTCACAGTGATCCTCCTGTTTTCAGCCTCCCAAGTGCTGGGGTTACAGGTGCGCACCACCATGCCCAGTCTCACAGTGTCTTAAGTATCACATGGCTCCTCGTATATGAGAAGCCCAGACTATAAACAAAGAGCACAATAAAAAGAATCATAATAGGAAGTAGACAGACTTTTTGCAAATGGGAAGGAGATCAAGAGATGGAGGGAGGGGGAAAGGAAGGGCGGGAACAGGGATGCAAAAAGAAATTAAGATGTGTTATGACCATGGGCCTACCCTGCCCAAGGAATGTGGTCACTGTGTACTGCAAACATGTGCTAGTAAAAAAACTTGCCATATTATTCTTACTGTAAGTGTAGTGCCAAACAGCAATAAAACAGGGGCATGTGTTCTTTGTAGGAAACATAAAGAACACAAATAGTACAGCACAGAGTCCATAAACCCAATTCAGACACTCTCCTGAGAGCCTCCCATCCCCTGGCAGTAGGCTTGGGGAGATCCAGCTAGTTCCTGACCCCACTGGTCCACCTTAGGATTTTCTGGCTTTACAATAGTACAAAGCAATCGATCTATTTTGTGTGTTCTGTACAGTAGGCAACAATTACATGAGATAGTCCACCGCAGTAATAAAGGAGTCTTAGTGCTAAGTGACTTTGCCCTGCTGCAGCTATGGTGTGTGGTCTGGGTGTATTTAAGGCAGGCAGGGTAAACGCAGGTGTTTGGTAGGGCAGGCATCTGAAATGCACTTTGAGTTTGTGAGGTTTCTCAGTTTACAATAAGGCTTATGGGGACATGAGTTCGGCACGCTTCAGGAGCATTTGTTGTTTATTGCCCGTGAAGATGAAATCCAGGGTGCAAAGTTTCAAAAGTTGGTTCTGCACAGGGGTGTGTTCCAGGGTTCCACCCACGGAATTAGTGAATTCTGATAGTTCTTGAGCTCCAGGGCTGGGTCCCCCAGGCTCAACTCTGCTGTTAGCGTCTTAGGGAACATTGGGCTGTCAGCATTTGGGCAGAAATTAGCAGCTTCTTTATGAAATTCCGTAAGGGGATCTTTTGTTTGGTTTAAGACAGGCTCTCACTATGTAGCCCAGACTGGCTTCAAACCCACAGAGATCTTCCTGCCTTAGCCTCCTGAGTGTTGTGATGACAAGCCTGTGCCACCACGTCTAGCTAGAGGATTTGATTATTTTTGTAATTTGTAATGTCTAATAGAATATTCTTCATGCTGAACCACAGGACAAAATTTTCTGGCGAATTATAGGCCACGGTACTCTCATCACCTTCAGCTTGGTAGTGTGCATGTTCGGTCCCCACTAAAAACCCCCTTGCACTCGGGTTTACAGGGTGCTGCAGGTGTGAACACCTTGGCTTCCTTGAACCCAAAATGTGACCTCTCAAAACCACAGCCCTCTCAAATCCAACAAGATGGCCTAGCCATGAAGAATGAAAGTTTTAAGCGTTTGACAGGCTTTAGGTGGCAGTTCTTTTTTTATGCATTTAGTACTGGGTCTACAGGGTCTTGTTACACAGATCAGACTCGTAGTGATCGTCCTGTTTTTAGCCTGCAAGCCTCCCAAGTACCGGGATTACAGCTGCATGCCACCACGCCCAGTCTCAGTTGCTGTGCCAGCACACCCCAGGGGCGGGGCCGGCATGGCTTGCTGGGGATTGAACTCTGGTCCCTTAGTCTGCTGAGCTATTAGCTGGCAGTTCTATAATTTACTAAGTTACTGGAAGTTTCCAGACTTCTCTCTCAAGTTCTTTAGGTGTGTATCAGGGACAAAAGCACCACTGTCACAGTTTCGAGGATAAAAGGAGATTATTTCATAAAGCACTAAATGTATAGCCTGATATATACTAAGAGATGAACAAATATTTATTGTTAACAATGACACCAGTATTGGAGTTGACAGTGAGTGCTACAGCTCTCACGGAGAAATCTCAAAGAATGTTCAAACTCAACGTGACCTCTCTAGATTCATTTTATAGAAATGATTGGAACCCATGTATAAAAATACGGCAACGGAACACTTTTGGAAACAACGAACAGTCAGAAGCAACCCAAATTTCAAAGGAAAATAAGGGTTAGGTTAAGCATTTTATATTATACTCCTATATAAAATGATGTTTTCTCTTAATCACATGAACTAAGTGGTAGTTTAGGTCAACGCCACTGGTAAAAAAGATAGGAAAGAGGGCTGGACAGACAGCTCAGTGGCATACGCCTGTGTGGCAAGAGCAAAGTCCTGAGTTCAATTTCTGGTACAAAAAAAGAGCATACAAACTTGTATTTACCTTCTAAGTACAATAAAATTAATGCAAGGTTTTTTTTTGTTTTTTTTTTTTTTTTTTGGCGGAACCAGGGATTGAACTCAGACCCTTGCACTTGCCAGGGAAGCGCTTATTCCACTGAGCCATCTCCCTGGCCCCAATGCAAGGTTTTTTAATCACGGTGAAACTAGAAGAGAATATACCAGGATGCTAGGTGTGCTTGCACTTGGGGCAGTGGGAGTCTGGGTAATTTTTTTCTACTTCGCTTTTGTGTTTTTTCAATTTTGCTCTAATGAACAGGTATTATTTTTATGATGGTAAAACAAAATCAAACATCCATTTTTCAGGAAGTTCAACATGACACATAAGACCCCATTTCTTAAGATCTCTGAGTCCGCAACAAATTTGTATGTGGTCCCTCCATATTTAGAACTTAAGTGCAAATCTCTAGATATATTTTATGGTGAGAAAACATCAAATAATTGCCATTTTATTTCCTGTGGTTGAAGACACCTTGTTCTGACCTAGCCTAAACTCCTTGTAGGACAAGCAGAGAAGCTTGTGGCCAGGCACACGTAGCCCTGTCCTTACCGGTGGGGGTCTCCATGGTGCGTTCTGGACACACAGCTGATCCTTCTGGCCCCACACACCAGTACATGCTGGGTGGTCTCTGCGACATGCCAGCCATCAACCTTATGGCAGCTGATCTCCAAAGGCAGGTCCTACTGTTGTCACCATTGCCCAGAGGACGGGAGGATCCGGACTTAGATGCACAGTCATGGCTGACCAGAAACCTCTTTCATTCCTGCGACAAAAAAAAAAAAAAAAAAAATCATAGCATCAGAAAAGCTTTCTCACTTCAGTCCTTTCTTGCAGTCCCTGCAAATATTTCATCATTATATTGGTCACTGATAATTCTGCTTTCTACTCCAATATTTTTCTTCATGGTCCATCGATCTGGCCAAACCCATCGGGCGCAGGCAGGGAAAGGGCCACACTTCCCCCATCCCACTGACACTTGATTCAGGGGTGCAGTCTCCCTGAATGATCCCCAAGCCTGTGGTGGAAAGGGCTCAGTCAGTGCTCAGTCATCACATAGTCGCTGTCCCCTGCAGTACAGCCAGGTCCTGTGTAAGGCCCAGAGACAGCAACATAGCTAAATGAGGCTCGTGGCCTGAGCGGCCCACACTCAGAGTGGGATGGGCAGACCCATCTACAGCTGGCTGTGATACCAGCCCTTCCTTTTGCCCAGGACAGACTCAAGTAGAAGCCCAGAGATGTGATCCCAAGACGGCAGTTAGGTCACGACCCAGAAAAGAAGGTGTCTGGAAAGAAGGATTTCTGGTTGTGAAGGCAGCTTAGCTTGAACTTCGGAAGCCAGCAGAAGTGAATCCCAGGGATGGTGCCTCTCTCACGCAGAGCACACGGCAATGCCCACAGACATATTTGGCAGCACACCAGACGTGCCATCTGCAGAGATCAAGGATCTTGCCAAATACCGTACAATGCACAGGACAGCCACCGGCCGCAATTAACCCAAGGTGGGGAGACTGACTTGTTTTAATAAGACTAATCTCTAAAAGCTCCCGAGATGATGACAGAGTACAGAAACCAAGCGCTGCTATTCTGTGCTGGGCGCCCAAGGAAGGGGTCTGCCCAACAGGAGTCCCCACTCTCAATGGGGGGGTCCCCATTCAAGTTGATTAAGAGAGCAGAAATGTCTTGAGGCCCCAGCTCTGACTTGGCAAGGGGACGGCTCCATGATAGGAAGTGTAGGTAGACCATCCTAGATGTAAAGTACAAGATTCAGGCACACTGAGACAGACAGTTCCAAAACAGTGTAGTTACTATAATAACAATATAATGACAATAATAATAAAAATAAATCAAGGCCATATAAATGCCAATATATAAAGGCAAAGACACACTGTGGCTGTCAGGGGTAGATTGCTTCTGATACTCCTGAGTGTTCCCTCCAGCTGAAACTTGTGTGTCTCAGTTTTCTCATCCATTAAACATAGACACCCCGCTGGCCACAGTAGCACATGCCTACAATCCCAGCACTCCAGTGGAGTGGGCTGAGGCAGCAGGATTGTTGTGACACAGGGATTGCTTTGAGTTCAAGGCCTTTTGGAGCTACAGAGTGAGTTCAAAGCTGGCCTGAACTACAAGGCAAGACCCTGTCTCAAAAAGTAAAAGTAAAAATAGACACCAGCCCTGGCAACCTTGCAGGGCTGCTGTGGGAATTCACTCAGGCAAAGGTTTTATAGTTGTCCCCTTTTTACAACAGGGCTGCTGTAGTCATGACTGCAGGCACAATGCCTGGGCATGGGACGGGAGCGCAGGCTCTGTCTCCCCAGTCAGTGGGCGCTGAGCAAACTACAGCCTGTGAGAACACTCAGAATTCCTCTTCTAGAAGCCTGGAGATCAGGCGCCTTGCCCAGTAGGCTGGTTTCCTTGAGGCGGAGGAAGGGGGATCAAGGAGAGCCTGCACCTTCCTGAACCAGAAAGAAAACAGTCCAGAGAAATACCCAAGTTTGCAGTGGAAAGCCTGAAACATCCAGGGAGGAAGAGAAAAATAATCAATCTGCACAAAATCCAGGAGATGATTAAAGCCTCGTAAACTGTAAAATCGAATTCAGAAAATCAAGCTGAGAACTGGGAGAGGAAAACCAGTGAGACAGACTGTGTTTTAAAACCCAGGCTCCAAACTACACACTAGGATTCATAAACTGAGAAGTACAGTCACCATCTGCTTCCGAACACCTCTCTAAACAGCCACCAAAACATACCTCACATTTTAAAGACCCCAGCAGTAGGCCTTCTCAAGCAGAAGAGTTGTCATACAACGTTTCTAAGTTACGAAAAAAGCTTTAAAATATTTTGTGTTAATCCTTTCCCAGTGTACTTGGTTCCCCTTTCACTTTCCTTTTGCAAATCAGCCTACTAATGGAGGGTTTTGCTGCTGGAGCAGTTTTTAAACTAAATTAGTATTCTGGCTTCCACCCGAAGGTAGAAGCTTGCGGATGAGGTAATTCAAGTTTTGCTCAGTCTTTGCCCTCAAATAGAGCTCTGCTTCCTCCAGCTCCTTTTGGGTTTAGACCAGAGCAACAAATCCACGTTATAAATTCCATGTTTTCTGTTCATTCTTCATGTTGAAAACATTTTCTGCAAACATGATTATTTTAATAATTTTTAAAGCACCTGCCTGGCAAGCTTGAGGTCCTGAGTTCAATTCCTGGCACCAAAACCAATTTTTTAAAAAAATGGTTATAAGTTTCCTTTTGCCAACTTTTATAGCCTACATTAAAATTACACTAAAATGCCCTATAGAAAAATAAGGAAGCTGATATTCATTCTATGAATGTTTTACTGAAGCCCTTTCAGGGAGGAGTAAGCTTATGAGTTTATAAAATTGGAAGGGACAGCAGACAGTAAAATAGTAATGGCTCTAAAATCTTTTTTTTTTTTTTTCAGGAAGTTTGGGCAGGGTTGTCAGTCAATACAAAAGGGAAGTGTGTTAGAAATGTTCCTACCACCTAGCTCCTTTTCAAATCAAAAGCCAGCTTGAGATGTTTAGCCCGCATTTCCAGGTGTCCCTTGCACCCTCGGCTGTGCCGGCTTTGTTACCCATGTATTTATCAGGCTTTTGGACGCCAAAATATGGAACAGCAGGGCAGAGAACTGTGTTGTTCTCAATCCCAGGTGAGCGCAGAGAGGCTGGGGCTGAGAGGCTCCGTGAGACCGAAGCCACATGCAAGCCAAGGCCATCCAGTCGTCAGTCTGCCCCTGAGTCTACCCCTCTGCACAGGGCACCTCCAGTTATGGTCACCAGGGTACTGCAGTAGCATGTCTGGCCCCCGCACGTCCAGTGGAGAAGGTGGGACAATTAAACAGAAATTAAGCAGACAAAGAAGAAGCACACGGACAGTGGAACTGCTAGAAGGCTGCAGTGAGGGATGTGAGCGAGAAGGTGTGTAGAGACAGGGCGACCGGAGAAGGTGTCTGAAAGCCATGTGGGTCAGTGATGCAGAAGCCCTGAGCTGCAGAGAGGGCTTGGCCAGGGTGGCATTGCCAGAGGCCGCCACTCCTGAGCACAGGAAAGAAGGGGTCCCCTGGGGCTCATGCAACAGCAAGAAGTTATGGAAGAGCTCGGTGAAGAGGCCTGATGTGATTCTGTTTACCTACTTAAGTACCTACAAGGATACGTACTCCATCACCCTGACTGCCAGAGATCAGAGGGAGGGGACTGTAATGCCACAGAAAGTGGTGGACAAAGCTGAACGCATGAGACAGCAGGAAACACATTTTGGGGTGGTCTTAACATGACTCGGTAACAGACTGAACTCAGGGAGGAGGCCTGGGTTGAGGATCCCACCTAGCTCTGTGATCCCAGTGTACTGACAACGGGCGCTTTCTGAGATGTGGAAGCACAGGGGAGGAAAAAGCTTGGCCACCAAACCTCCTTTAAGGACAAACCAGGTTTTGGTATGTTGCTAACTTTTCTCTCTCTCCTTTTCTTTCTTTCTCTCTCTCTCTTTTTCTCTTTCTTTCTTCTTTCTTTCTTTCTTTCTTTCTTTCTTTCTTTCTTTCTTTCTTTCTTTCTTTCTTTCTTTCTTTCTTTCTTCTGGATCATGTGCAAAGACAACGAAAACCAAAGTGTAAAAGGCATTTCATGTTAAGGTTTTCTAAAACTGTGTACCCTGCAGCTGGCCCTTGAGTATCTGGGGACTCTGCTATCTTATGAGCGACACACTGCTAAAAATGGGGGATCTGCTGAGAGACTTGCCAAGAACACACTGCCTGCCCCTGGCTCTGAGCAAGGGGATGTGTTTGCAAGAGAAACACTTCATGGCCTCCAACTAGGAGGGGGCAGGTAGGGCTGCTCCTAGGGCTCCCCAAAGGCTTCTTTGCTCCCTTCCCATCCACCTCCAGCCTCCCTGGGCTCCCCACACTCCCTGCCAGAAAAGGAGAAGCAGCATAGGCAGCTCTTATCTGATGTGTTCCAAGGGCGGGTGCCCAGGACACTGCCGGTGGGACACTCAGGAGCAGGGCCTCCCTGACACACGTGTGTGAGCGCACACACACGTGCATGCACACACACGGTCCCCAACACATGCACACACACTCTGCACACGCACTCACATGCATTCACCCTCATCCACACTCACCAGGCTCCAGGTTCAAGGACTGATTTTCTCCCAAGAAACCTGTAGCCCTCCGGGCTTCCTACTCTGTTCTTGCCCGGGCTCCCCGCCTCCAGCCGTCCAGGGTGGGCTTCGGAGCTCCCTGTGTGGCCCCTATCCGCAAGTCCGCGACGCGGGAGGAAGCAGGGCGGCGACTGGGGATCGTGAGCGGAGCCCCGCGGTCCCGGGGCCAGATCACCCCTGCCTGAGCACGCGGCCCCTGGGCTGCGCGCGGGCCCGGAGGTCACGGCGGCGATCGGGACGCGGGGCCGGGCCGGGCTGCACTCACCTGCGGCGGCGGCGGC